CCGTTCCAAAACTCACCGATTTGAAAGTTCTATTACTGACTGTCAGCTTTAGCTATTTTTTTTGGATTTGAAGAAAACATTTTGATATTTTGAAGACTAGCGGATTGTCATCAGAACGGTATGGAAGAAGAAAAATGAAGGACTTGTTCGAAATGTTAAATTTGTGCTTTGAGGCAAGTTTTAAACTTGATTCTCGGTGGATAAAAATGGAAGCTGTACACGACTGCCCTTTGTCATTTGAATCAAGGTGGAAGGTGCTGTTTCACATGCCTTCCTGGTAGGAATCTCTTTCCACAAAATGGGATGTTCGGTGCACATTCTACCCAAATGAATTTGCTGAATAAAATGAAATTTCGGTTTTAAGAGCTTATGTTTCAATGAAGTAATTGAAATATTCGTTTCCCTTTTGAGGGTACAAAAATCTTAGTTTGAAGTTTTGGTAAGACCGAATGTGCGTTGAGGGCTTCATCGAAATCGTACAACCTAGGCACCTGAATGGCGAGTTTCGTACCCGTTCGTTCTCAGCTTGGGTATGTATGCGTAAGGAGTTGTGTCTCCGTATTTACAAGGGTGAAATTAGTATCGTAGAGCATGCTCCAGGCATGGCAAGGTTTTTGTGAAACCCAAACTAGGCCTACAGCAATTGCATGTTCGATGTCGGTGTTGTAGCTGTCACCCATCGATCCGTAAAGTGGCCATACGCACACTGGCATCAACAACGCCGCTGACTAGATGGCATAGCCGCCGGGCAAGGAAGGATCTATGACATGTTTGAATATAGTTAATACGTTTCCATCTTAGACTGTTAATAAGGCAGTTCTATCAAGTATAACAGTGTAAATACGAGACTTATTTCGAAAGTACTTGGATAACTTAATGACATCTGAACGAGGATCTTACCGATAACGCAACGATAAATTTAAGAAAAGCTGAGTATTTGTTTCATTAATGCGTTAAAAAATATAAAGCAATACACAAACACTGTGTTTTTTTCAATGGAAGATGTCACACTTTTGCTAAACCCCACCGCTCGACCGATTAGGACCCGCTTTGTAGTGCCAACTCAGTGAAAGCGCTTAGGCTGATTTTTCATTCACTGTTGAATCACTTCTAACCTTGAGTTGCAAAACGTGATACTGCCTATCAAACGTGTTTTGGGAGTTAAATCTTTTATGGTAATAAAAATAGAATGATGACAAGTTTCAACAAATTTGCTAATGCATCTTTGAAGGACTTGATCTTAACCAGTGTTAAAATTCTACTGATTTGACAGACGTTTGGCTAGCGTTTTAGTCCCAATTTACGAAATTCGGAAAAGTCGACCCTTGTGTACTAAATTTTTGACAGTTGACTACATTTCTTTCACCCAAATTCCATCTGGATATTACTGACCGAAAAAATTTATGAATTTCCAATGTATATTTAGAAAATATTAAGGTAACAAACGATAGTTTAATGACTGGATGCAGAGTAATGGATAAATTTGTACTTTGTAATTTGTGATTCAGAGCTTTCAAGTCTAGTCTTTTGTGTCAAATGAATTAATTTACATTTTCCAAAGTTTGAGTGACAAAGATAAATAAGGCCGTTCTAAACAGAAAGCTCTTGCTACAAAATTAAAATACCACATTCACACTCATTGTGAATTTATATTGGACTGGAAATTGTTCGCTTCACTGCTCTGTGTTGATGAATCCCTGGTGAAATGATGGCTGGAAAGGGGACAGCAAAGAGGCCCTTCTTAAAACCCCATCTCACCTTATAGGTTCCAACAGTGGAAGACTTCCTCAACCTCATCAATCAACGCTCGGGAGAGGGGTTGCGCTACCTGGAGTTGAACAGTGACTTGATTACCATCCCGGTGCTGGAGGAGTTGGGCAACAAGTGCACCAATCTGCGCTACCTTACCCTCGATTTCAGCAATGCCATGCAGCTCCACGACTTCAATGATCTCATGGCCTTTCCTGGCCTCCTCACCTACCTCTGTATCTGTCTTAGTGATGTCATTTTCATGGAGGGTCTGATGCGCAAAATCTACCCCTGCCTTTCCTCTCTTGAAGTCCTCCATCTCATTGGTGAGACATTTATCATCCTGCACTCCTTCATGCTTCACAACAAAGCAGCTTTTTAAGTATTTGACATTTGCTTAGCAAACTAAGGGTTGTCGTTTGCATAATTGGCTAAGTGGGCCTAAGCCTTCGATAATTTAGTGTGGTAAGTAGCAAAAGTGTGCTAGTTAAATACAAAGGATTCATGAGCATAGCAACCTACAGTAGAACAGTAGACATTTGGTTTTAACTGTTGATTGATATTCTGGTCAGTTGCACTTTTAATGCCTGCACCTGAAGCACAATGTTTTCATGGAGTTCGGCTAATACCAAGATCGGTGCTATGCTTAACTCCAACACTTCGCTTAAATGCGTGAGCAGTGTTTTTTGAGAACAAGAACAGAAATTGAAGTAGGTTTGACTTCAAACACAAGTAAGGGATTTTTCACCTCATCTGTGCCTGTATTGACGGTGTTGGTCAAATGGTCGAGACAGCTATTTCACATAGCCTCAAAGACAAAAGTACATTGCGTTTTTTCCAGTCCTTTTTCATAAATATGCGTTTCGTTGTGAGTCGTAGGTTAGACCAGTCATAAAAGTGGATCTTCATCTTTTGGAATGTGTTAGTCTATTTAGGCGTAAAAAAGGGAGTTGGAGCGGAGACTGCATGAAGAAATGGATGTTGTGAAATAATTTATGAACGTGCAATCTTAACACAGTTTTCTACTTTTCAAGATGATAAATCCACTGTAGACTTGATTTTAGCGGAATAGCGCTATCCAACATCTGCCATTTAGCTCAAATTTTCCAACAGATCGGCGATATTCGTCAAAGAATAAAGAAAGTATTTGAAGTTTTGAATTAATGAATGGGTGAGTTGAAAAATTTAGGAATTATAAAACACCTGAATGAAATGTCGCCTTAATAGTGCAAAACATGCATAACAAAATTTATTTTCTTCAATTTAGGTACATTTGAAAGGGCCGCTGAAGAGGAGGAGGAAATTTATGAGGTCAGTAATTTGCATTTCTGCTAGAAAGAGGTAGATATGGACTTTTCTCTGGCTCTATGAATACGCGATTTGCATAAAATATGGCATCAAAGTACATGCTGCTGAGCGCTAAGCAGGAATGCCGACTGGAGGCAATGCAGGTTTATTATCCAAAAGCTCTTGTTTTCCAAGCCTTTATATCAATCACAATGTCTGCATTTGTCAAGCTAAAGAGAGAATTGGGATAATGAGGAATAACTTAGGCGTAAAATGTGATTCCTTGTGCAGGTGGTCAATATAAGCAAGATTCGCGCCCACACACCGAACCTGAGGGTTATAAACCTTTACGGCATCAGTTTTGTTGATGACAGTCACGTAGAGCTTTTGGCTACAAACTGCCTCCAATTAGAATGCATCGCCCTCAACTACTGCCTCAACGTCAAGGGCGCCGCCTTTCCACTCATCATCTCCAATTGCAAGAAACTCAAGACCCTTCTTCTCTGTCACTGCGGTCAGTCTGCCAACCGATTATTCTTTGCTATTTTGACCTATAATTTCCTCTTTCGTCGAGTACCTTTCGTTTACCATTCCACTGTAAAAACTTTAAATTTCAGAATCCATCTTAATTCTTGCAGCTGTCAGACATTCTAAGTGGTGCTAACTTTACTACTAAAATATTCTTCCCTATAATCGGTTGTACCCAAAAACATGTGGGATGTGACTAGGTTTCGATTCTCCCTATAACAGTCCAAATGTTTGGACTCTGAAGAAAAGTTATCTTCTCAATCAGACTGCTATCCTATAACATTAAATCTTTTTCTAGGTCTTGAGGATGAATATATCATGCAGGTGCCATGGGAAAACTCCCAACTCTGCGAGCTGGACATAACTTCTACTGAACTCTCGTCGGAATGTTTGGACAGTTTTCTCTCCCGCATCCCCTCATTTACTTATCTAGCCGCTGGGCACACTGATTTCTTCAATGATAAGTTAAGAACTTAGACGACCTATCATTGACATTGAGTCTATTAACAAAACATTATCTCTATTGCACATTCATTTGTGAGAATCTCACATATGCTTGGTGTTACACATAATCAAGAAAATGGATACTTTGAAGGCTGTTTAGTTGCGTAGGACAAAGTAATCAAGTTATAAAATCAACTACTAATACCAAGTGTGGGAGAATACGAAATCCTTAAATGGAGTGATTTATTAATGCTCACTCATTATAGGTATTAAAGCACCTTGTGGAGCTCCAAAAGTTTAACGATCTCATCGCTCTGGACTTGAGCTTTACGCCCTCATTAAGTGAATCGACGATGATGAACTTTTTGCAGACCCATGGACCGCAGCTTCGCGGTCTCATGCTCCAGGGAAAACCCACACTAGCCGAATATTTCTGGACCACTGTCATAACTTTTCTGCACAATATAGAGTAAGTTTCGTTAGATCACCGTTGAAAGAACTTAGCATTGTATGTGAAGGTTTCGGAAGCACTTTCAAATAGGCTTCTTGAGCCTACTGAGTCTCTACATAAGCAGCACCAAGGTTCATCTTTAAACTTTAAGAAAATAATGTAATATACAGTCAAGTGGTAAACAAAGATTACCCACGATTTTACAACCGACCAAAACGGGTTCAGTCACTCAGCATATCAAAGGGACAGAATTCTTCTCTCCTTGAACTTATCCTTGTCAAAAAACATAACACTTTTTATTCCTTAGAATATGTGTGCTTGGATCTCCCGATGGATGGTTTTTCAAGTACAACACTCGTGTGCACGTCGACCAGGTTTTGCACGCCTTCGCTTTGAACTGCCCCAACTTAACCGCTCTAGAAATTCAATGGGATCCAGAGACCCTTCGATTCAGTGACAAAAGCCGCAAGTTCATCGATAGGCTTAGGTGCATTAAAATTGGCGCGAAAGCTCTTATCGCAGGTGCGTAACACTGCCACTGAAGTGATATCGCTTGTGATTTTTAGGCTGAAATGTTGGCGATTGAAGTCTCTGACATTGTGTGACGGAAAGTATTACGAGTTGGTCAAGGGCAACTTCGAGAGAGCAGAACGCCCACGGGTTGTCCGAACGACCAATTCACACACCACTTCCATTGTGTCTCTTCTAGGTAGATACAAGGACTTGCAGTTCAACTAGATAATGCAAGTCCTATATGGTATTATAAATGGCACAATCTTTTCACTGTTCTGGTTGCCTTGCTTTCAATGCTCGTGACTACAGACATCGCTTACTTGAATATATACTTTTAAACCCTTTGTATTCCCACCCTTTGGGTCTTTGATCCATTCTTCCGCCCGCAGTGTCGCATTAGCCTCCAAGGTATTAATACTGTTTATCTAACCCTTGTTTTCAACTCATTAGAAAGCCAATCGAAATGGATTAATCAAAACCTAACAGTTGATACAGCTCCACGAATTCGTTTGCTATAACTGGCTTGACTTACTAAGTGAGGTTATATCGTGTGCCTCGAGGTGACGCTGTTGGGTCTAGAGACTGCTATACAGAAGATAGAAAACATGTTACCTAAGTAGAATATGCGTTGTTGATGTATAAAATGACTTGCGAATCACTGACATTGACCCAAGGCTGGAACATCTCATACGAGTACAAGGGCGGTATTCCTAGTCAGCCAATTATTAGAAACGAGAGTTAACAAGTAATCAACGCATTACAGGTACATTAAGGCCAACAAATTTGAGACAAGATAAAAAGATGTTATGACGTCAGTACTGATCGCCGAACATAACTGCTAAAATGAATAATCACGAATAGGAGGCCTTGAATGATTGTACTTTGGCCCGAAAATACAGGATACTGTGCAAGAATAGTTGAAGCATTGAACTGATTGAAGCTGGACCGCAAGGAACGAACAAAGCCACGAGCTGCACATTCACTATCAACCGATGTGTGTGTTCCAAATGCAAGCAGATGATGAAAATAATGCTTGATCATGCTGTCGTATGTCGTGTGGAGAGGTGACAAGCAAGAAGGATAGCCAAACTAATAAGTTGATTAGGAATATTTCCTACAGTGCTCGAAATTGATATCTTCATATACAGCTCACTTTTGCCTTTATGCCTATTAAATACTTGGTTACTTGACTCCCTATGTTGTTTGTTATTATTGCAGTGTCTGTATTTTCTCTGCTCACTGAACTGGCCTTCGAGCTATGCCAAAAGCCAAACTTTTCCCCTTGACCTAAATTTATTTACTCAACTCAGATGCTATGCCGTTAGTTACCTGCAAAACAGTCTTTGTTGGAAGCAGAAAGTGAGCGGGACTTGAGATCGGCGTTTACCTCACTTCTCATCACGTATGACAAAACTCTGCAGTGCGAATGAAATGTACATACTACGAGTGAAAAAATCTCTGCATTCATAGTAGAATGGCTAAAGATGTTGAGTGCTTTCGCCACCTACCCTATTCTCGTGCCCTAGAGGCAAGCTGATGAGGGTGAAAGTGACACCTATCGTATCTTTTCCACCATACGGGAGCACGTCAAATACTTACTCCCACTAGAGGAATTTGTGTTCAGACGAATGTTTTAGAGTCAAGCATCAAGCACATAATGGTTATCCGATTCTTTATTTCCTAAGTTTTGCATTTTAGCCGAATGAAATCTTAGATGCGGTTAAAGCTGTTAAGAATAATAATTTATGTTGAGGTAATATCACCTTTCATCAATTAGGTAGGCGCTATAACGCCCTGGTTCTTACCATTAGGTAAAAGACGAAACTAAGCAGGGTTGAATACTTGCTTTTAGGAAGAAGGAGAAGACGTTGAGCTTTAACTTTGCCCAAAAGCGAGCATGCGCAGCCGAATAGATGCGGTATTACAGATGCCACTGTTCCACAGTGTCTTCTCAGAACATAAATAACATTATACTAGCTATCGAAACAAGTTCATGACTGAAAGTATGAGCAGCGTGACCTGTGGACTCCGTAAAATAACGCATTTCATTCCCTTTTGCCTGAATGGTTTTCTGATTTAATCACTAAGCATTCTCTTAAAAAACAAAGAAGTCTGAGAGGGTTCCACCCAAAGTTCTATGATCTTTTCTGTAGGGTCCCGAAACCTCTCATCAGATGGAAGAGGGCATTATATAGGGCTGAACACGCATTCGAAGAGAAATAGGAGAGATTGGGATCTGGAGTAGTCGGAAGGCCGACCCAAGCGTACAAGAGCAAGACAAGTATCAAAGTGCCCACCAGTCATACAGGTGATCGCACAAACAAATTATCGCATTGTTTCCCTTTTGTGTGACGTCCTCGGCTCTCTTGATACACTCTCAGCTCCAGCCATCACAACTTTTCGGTAATGAAAGGAAGCATCAATGATCCATCCGCGCCAGTCAGTAGCGACGACGGGACTAAGAAATTGCACTTGACCAACCAGCAGCTTCAACTGGATAGGCCTGAAGATTAAGCCGATGTCAAATCCCTTATTCTCCTCCCGGAATACTTGTATTCAGCCCAACGAAATGCTTTCTTCTAAGTGGTGAGAAGTCTTGGAGCGCTATAAACAGGGCAACTGGAAAAACACATTTCCGAATGAAAAGGGAATCGGTGCAGTGTCATCGCTGGCAACTAAACGCTAGTTTGTTGAGAGTAATTTTGAAACAACATCTCTTTAGATGGTCACGGTGGTGTTGTACCACTTTCTAATAGCCTGCCCATGAGGTTCGCGAATCGAGTAAGGCCATGAAGAGGCGTCATTCTCAAACCTGTTGTGAAGAATTTAGAGGATCGACAGCCCTACGCACGTGCGTTTCCTTTGCATCTCAGAGGTATGGCATAAACCGTGGACGTCAGGATAACTATCAGAACATCGAATTTTTAATACAACCCATGATTTAGGTTGGTCTTTATAGGGAAGAGGCGAAGAAGCAGTTGGAAATTGATACAAGTTCGTGAGAAGCTAGAAGAGAGGTTCTCAGCTGACATCATTTTTCTGTCTCATCAATTATCCTCCAGTTCCTTTGTCTCTGTATGCAATGCTTAATAAAGCTTCCTCAAATAACCTTCCCCCAGAAGTTCCATGTTCAGGGGCCTTAGGGCAGGCAGGTAGGTCCAACAGAATTCAAATTCTACCTGTGTGGCATGCAGTAGACAATAAATGGTGCTAAAATGCATGGATTTTTGGAAGAGAAAAGGAGATTATGCCTTTTAGGAACTGCTTGCCTACCATCCTGCCCCTGAGCCACGGAATTTAAGAGCGGGGTTAGGTGCAGTAGGTTTATTAGACATTGATTAGAGGGAGGACGGCAAATAGGGGTACAGATGAGCCGAACAGCAGATATTACTCGGAGAGAGATTTCTCACGGTCCTCACGCACAGGATACACGTTCCAAAGTGGTTACCGCCTCCCTCCTATAAAGGTCAACTTAAACGCTAGTATGTATTGCATGTCTTGGCCTAGCTCAAAGGCCTTATTATGTGTACGATAGCAAAACGAATACCAATGTCCCTGCCAGACATCAGGTGATTGCATGAACAAAGTATTACCAATGGCAATTACCATGGTGACCAGCATGCTTCGGCAGGGTGGACTGGACCTCAGAAGGTGCCGAGACCTTGCCCATAAAGGTTTACTTTTAAAATATCAAACTAAGTCGAATACCTGCCATTACCAGATAAAAAATCGCAAAGTGCTACAAGATCGTCCCTCCTTTTATGCCTCGTATGAATGCATCCCTCTGCACAAGTATTCCAGTTTTAACAAACCACGGAAACCTCGCTATGAATTTTTCATGAAATCTTGATAACAAGTCTGTGAAAGATATTATTACGTATTTTAATAAGTGCTCTTTCTAATGAATCCGTTTGGCACTCTTGTTTACACCAGTCAAGGCGATCGGTCTATCAAGGTTAACTACTTGATTTTTGGGTCAAATACGACTGTATCTTTGGCTTCTCTTTTTGTCTCTTGTTCTCGTAACGCTTTAGACTATAAGCATACGCTTTGCACCTATCTATTTAGTCTAGATCTGTCAGTATTAAAGCTAAATTTCATATTTCTACTTTTGCTTTGTAAGGCTCCAGTTCTTGAAACGTCTAGTTCTTAACATGTAGATCTGAACTTCCTGCTTAAGGTAAGCACTGTATTCGCTGTATCTAGTAGGAGTTTGCCATCATTTAATCCTTGTTACGTTTTCGGTGACTCAACCACTCCTTACAGACCAACATTTGCTTGATTTCGCTTTAGATATTCATGCGCTTATGGGTCCGGTGTTAACTGAAAAATCCAAGGAGATTCCATTTTCCGAATCCTATTTTGCGCATATCAAGCCACCTTAGTAAGCTATTGTAAAGGCTTGATTCGCTTGAATGCTATGTGGAAGATCTAGTTTTTCGTGCAATCAAGAGCATTTATTGTGCTATTATTAGCATGCTTTTTTTCTAAATATTTCAATAGGAACTTATTGGTGCAAAACATGGCTTTTCGTTCTTTCACGAGCTGTTAAATGTTGTCTTCTACTCATGCAGTTCATAACAGCGATTCTTGGATTCGAAACTGGGTATTTTCTGTATTATTCGCCCATGATAAACTGTTCCAATAAACCCGTTTAAGCCTTTATTTTTAACGTTGATTGTTTTTAATTTCAGTTTTTGTATAGCTTTTTTTGCCTATATTATCTGCGCCGGGTCGTTGCAACTCTATATATATTCCTCCATCCAATCAACCATCCCAAGCGATCTCTGGTTTTTACGGCTTGCAACCATCCTTTTCTGCTATACTCTCACTTATATGCCGATATGGATCCTTCGACGTGTTGCACAGCCCCTCTTACGGCAGTGGGAGGCAGAGACAGGTATGCAGAGAAGTATCACTGGGTGGTCTTTTAATCTCTTGTCATTTAGTATAGTCACTTCTCCTTTCCTGTAGGAAATTTGGCTTCTGTGTGCCAATACTACCTCACAGTCTGTTTCTTTCAACATCTACCTCACGACCGTCTCCTCGACCCTCCCGCAATATCTACACCGCTGCCGCTTTGGCGGGTCCCTTTTGTTCGCACTTCCGACGCCCTTTCCGCCTTTGTCAAGCAGCATCGCTTGCTGGGGCTGGTGGGGTTTGCTCTTTGTCTCAATCTCGTCTATCTTCTCTGGGGTGTTCTGCAGGCATGACCCAAGATTCTTAATGCGATTCACTTAATTGAATGCTAGTAACTATTAAATTCACTTGTACGAGATTTGTAACGTTTTGGAACCCTTTAAAATTTTTATTATGCTTAGTCCCACCTGCTCAGTGTGTAAGGCTCTGCCAAAATGCCTTTTTTATTGATTCATCTGCATTTTACTCCATGAAGACGCCTCCTTGTCCTTAACGCAAGAGTTGTGGCAGTCATGCCCCAGTGATCAGTGCAGCGCTTTTAGCGTGTCTTCTTTTCTTACAATTGTGCTTCGCACGATTTGCTTTATCTTGGCATGCTACATCCTTCAACATGGTTTATTAATTTCCATTTTCTCGCTCGATAATTTTAATGTATGCGAGTTTACTAGCTACTTCGAAAAAGAGCCCTTGATTTGCTGCTTTCAGTTATCAATCACTGGCTCAATGCTAGTTCTGGTTGTTTACGGAACGTCACCTTGGTGTTCATCGATGGTTGAATATTTAGAAAAATATTTCATCCGCTTGAATAAACTGTGATCGAATTCACACCTGCCTCTAACTGATCCTTGACTCGAGTCCTTGCTGCAAGATCTCGTTCTTTCCAAATGCTTGAGCATTGCGTCTTAAACTTCCAAATCGTGCTATCAAATCAACTATTTGTTGACTTTAACCTCTAAGTGTAGTGTGCGCACATGAGGTTGGGTATGCAAATTTGTCTGTAACCAATAATGGCTCTAAAACCTTCGTACCACTGATTAAGCGGTAGGTAAGTATGTGTTTCATGGAACACCTACCGGGGGCACAATTTTTGTTTCTTTGTATTTACCACTGGCCGATCGGGATGATATCCTCTTAGTATCATAAATATTTTAAGATATGAATCTTCCAATCATGTCACCAAGCAAATGGGGCAATATTTTGTGTCTGGGGCTTTGATGATTGCTGGCTAGTTGGGGTCACCAATATTTTCTTGCCCCTGCTTTGCTGCGTTCAGAGTCGGCACTTTACTTGTTGATCGCGTTTGTCTAGAAAGAAATCGGATTATTCCAAAATCAGGGCTTAATCGTTGTTCATCATTATCCATCTCACCAGGAAAACTATCTTTTCCAATGCACTCGTCCCAGTAAGGCTAATTTCGGCTGAAAATTGATTCAGTCTTATTATGATTGGAGTGCATTGGGAAGAGGAATTTGTATTATGAAATTCTGGTTACACAGGAGAAGATAATGACCGGCAATTATGGAGGGAGACAATTTCAGGAGCCGCAGTTCCTTGTCTTCTGCAATCGCATAGGCGCTCTCATCGTAGCATCTGTCTGTATCCACATTGTGGGATCTCGACAGTTGGAGGCAGTGGTAACGGCTGCAGACGTACAGGGCGAGGCGCCGCTCTCAAGCTATGCCAACCCTGCACTTAGCAACATCCTCTCTAGCTGGTGCCAGTATGAGGCCCTCATTTTCATCACTTTCCCCATCCAAGTTAGTTTTATGCCTTTCTTCCTTTCACTTTTCACAAAATAATCTGATATTCCAAAGCGGCCTTTTCAGAGGACCATATCTCATATCTTTAAAAAACTTCTGAATTTGCATATGAGTTGATTTGTTGCTAGCTTTTATGTCAAGGGGTTGCCTATCTTGACAAAAACGCTAGTGTCAGGTCCTCATCCAACCTTTTTTAATAGATAGTTGTCCTATAACTTACGAATCCCGATACCTTCAACTAAAAGTTGATGTTCTCCAATAGCATTCGATCATTACACAAAATTTCAGATATCGTCTTAACATTGCTTTTAATGCTTTTGTTTAGGTCATTTCAAAGTCTTGTAAGGCTATTCCTGTAATGCTGATGGGTAGACTTCTCTATGGCCGTTCTTACAGAGCTTTTGAATATATCACAACCGGTGCGCCTTTGTAAGATTTAGAATATATAAGTGATCCGAATACATTGTTTTTTTTGTGCCTTCTGTTAGTAAATGCTCTAACCAAGTTTTATATGGTATTTAGCTTCCACGCATTGCTTAGTAGTGAACCTCACAAAAGCTGGTAAGCTTTCTGAAGCCTAAGATCCATTTGTCTTCCAGTACTTGTCAGCATTGGTGTGAGCGTATTTATTCTATCATCGCCACTGGAGCATAGTGGGAAGACAACAGTGAATTCGGTTAGCGGACTTGTCCTTATCTGTGGTTACATCGTTTTGGACTCCTATACATCCACATTTCAAGACAATCTCTTTCGGATTTACAAGGTTTCACCACTCCAGGTACTCTACCTCATCATCTGACTTTTTCAGAATCATATCTCGGTGCGGGATGATTGCGCGTGTGCGTTTGGTGTTTTAGATGATGCGTGGTATTTGTGCTTGGGCAGTGCTATTCACTATCACACCACAGTTGGTGGATGGAACACTGTCCTCTTCGCTGAGGTTTGCTTTGGAGCATCCTCAGTTCGCTCTTGACGTGACTACCTCTGCCATATGCTCCGGTTTTGGTCAGGTACTAATTTTCGCTACCATAGCCGAGTTCGGCGCCGCCACCTTCACCATCGTTATGACAATTCGGCAGTGTCTGTCCATCCTTGTTTCCTGTCTTCTCTTTACCCATCCCATGAACGCAGTTGGAGCCTTAGGCCTGCTGATCGCCTTTGGTGCAATCCTCTCTCGTATCATCTACAAAAGATTGACCTCCAAAAGGCAGGCCTAACCTACTTCTTGTGTATTGATTGACAAGGTTTTTTTTTATTGTTTATTGCGTTTCATGTCTGGTTTTATCTTCCAAGAGTGAATCGCCGAAATAATTCCTTTTGTTCTACTTTGTACTGATCGGTGAAAAAGCAATACCAGTCAATAAATTTGTCCGATGGATACTTGTCTGTTAAGCATTGATAATAGTGTTCGGAAACGCTCAACATCGGTGCCTTGTCGGAATGTGTTGGATGTGATTGAACCGAAGCGTGTTTCCGCCGATTTCAACATTTTAACGAACAAAACAACTGAATTAACTCGCTCTACAATGGGCTTCTCCTAAGTGCGTAGAACACTCAGGCAGCAATTTGTCCAAACAAAAGGAAGGGTGGCTTGTTCAGTTTAGGTGAGAGTATTGTAATATGGTGGATTTCAACTACCGAAGCTCGCGATGCACTAAGATAATTAATGATATCAGCTAAACGGTCCTCATAGCATGTGTAGCAACACCAGTTAGTTTAATTCAAGATTTTGTTAAGGAGCCAGTAGCTTAGTCATTGTAACATCTTGCTTATGTTATCACTTCATGTCTGACAATTGCCTTAAAACTCGTCCGGTCCTTGTGCGCACGAAATGTCCTCTGAACCCAGCGCAGACTCAATTCATTCCCTGTCCTAAATTACTCGAAGTCAGCCTCCACTCCAGTATTTACTCTCGAAGCCCCCAAGTCACTGCATTTTGTCTAGTACTTTGGCACCTTAATCATGCCAATAGTCCCAGTCCCTCCATAGGCTGATTACAGATACAGCTCAGGAGAGTACCTCCCTAATTTTAATACTTGGAGAATCTAAAGCCGTTGCAGGAGCTTTAATGACGTTACAAGCAGCAGCCTCAGCTTCACTATCGTCCAGAACCGCCTCTGACGTTCTCTCGAAAAACAGTTTGTTTACACACTCAATTTGACATTGGGAACATGACCAAGCGCCAAGACCCGCCCCAACAAAATTTAAACCGACCTCCGAGTAGGGTACAACGTTTGCTTATATATCCTCAGTATAACTAATACAGTCGATTAAAACAAAAAACTTTGACACGTTATATTTTATTTGAGTATGTCGAAATAGAGCTGAAAAATCAAAATCAGGAACATTTTGCAAAATTTTAAATCGTTGTTATAATGTGGGGTAAAAGCACTTGAGTGAAAATTTTGCAAGTAGGAGTTCTGTATCTAAACAACAAAAAACACAACATTTAAGTATATCTGCGTCCCAGAATTTGTGTGGCCTTGTACTACGCCTACATTAATCGACCAATAAAATCGTACGGAATAGGTAGTTATTGGACAGATGTGCCACTCTGCATGCACTGGCCTCTTGTATGCTTTCATGAAAGATGGTTGGATTTGACGTATCCAAATATCAGAACGTATCCAGTTCTGACTTTTTGGCTGCTGGTTGTATCAGTGGCTTTTGTGGAAGGGCATGCGTTCAGCCACTTGATGTTGTTAAAGTCAGGTTCCAGGTAGCGCATTCTCTATTTACACCGAACTCGTTCTCGTACAGCTGCAAGTCGAACCGATTTCAACAATGCAGGAGTCAGCTAAGTATCGAAGCATCTTTCAAGCCATCCGCTGCATCATAAAAGAGGAGGGTCTTGGTGCTTTTTGGAAGGGGCATCTGTCTTCCCAGATCCTTGCTGTTTGCTATTCTGGTGTCCAATTTACTTCTTTCGAATTGTATACGAGGTGGTGTGCTCACTTACTACCTAAATCTGGTGAAGACGGTGAAGTTTGTCAGACATTTGCTTCTGCCGTGAATTTCACCTGTGGATGCCTTGCTGGAGTAACTTCGGCGACCTGTACACAGCCCTTGGATGTATTAAAAACTCGTTTCATTGCTCAGGGAGAGCCTCGTGTATATAAGTACGTAGAATACTGTCGTAGTTTCACTATGTTCTCGTGGTAATTGTGCCTTTTCTCTAGTAATTTGCGCGAAGCGATTACAACTATAGCCAGAAAGGAAGGTTTTAACGGATTTTTTCGAGGTCTTAGTCCATCACTCCTCCTAACTGCCCCTCAAACTGGTTTGAACTTCGCCGTTTACAAGCTCACAATTCATTTAATCAGTCTTTGGCAGACGCGTGTTCTTGGACACCCTCCACCCGATCCCACCAACGCTGGTAAGTCGCGTTTTGATTACAAATGAATATATTTAACTTGTGTTCAAAAGCATTTCACTTGAAAACCGATCTCTTATTCACGTAAAGACAAATGGGAGGCATTGTAGAAATCCTTAATTTGGTATTATCACTGCTTTTAGTTCATTCGCTACAAGTTTTAGTTCTGATTGCTTGCTTGGTTTGGGTTGCAGTGTGAACATGCATTTTTCAGTGAGGTTCCCACTTATAAGTTTGTGAAAACTCGTTCAGGTAGGCTTATTAGCTCCGCCTGGAAAGAACACGGCATTACAGCCAGCTGCACTTCTCCTTCATCTTTAATACTTCTGTTGAACTCCATAAATTAATTGACACACACTTTTCGGATAACAGATCCAAATATTGCTTGACGAGCCAAGATTTGGAATCTGCTTACTTTTATTGATCTCATGTCCAAATTCACTCGGCCATGAAAAATTGCATTACAAGGGATGAATCGATCCTGCATCTAGAAAGTGCCAAAATTTTCTTTTGAACGTTCCGTGGGCATTAAATAGCTATTGAAGTAAACTTTGGTTGTAGGCCTTGTCCAAAGCGTCTTTGCCGGTGCATTCGCAGGAATGGTCTCGAAATGCACGGTCTATCCAATGGATGTCGCTAAAAAGCGTCTTCAAGTTCAAGTAAGTTTCCTACTGTTTTTCGGCTGTCTGGACTATTGCATTCACGCATTTGTTTCCCACGGCGTTTGCTGTCCGTGTGCTGTGGCTTAGGGTTGTGGAATTCTAGCCGCTGTGAGGACTGCGAGTCAATCATTACTGTACATGTAATATATGTTCACGGTGAGGTGGCTGTTTCAATTGTTTAACTTTTTTCTAATCGTTGAATATCCATTAACTGGGACTTCAATGAGTGTGCTTATTTTTTGACTCAGTTAAGTTGATGGTGGATACCAGCCTTTTGTCTCCCCATGCATTTCTTTTTGGTTTACTTCCCATGGTTAATATCTCCTTTGAAAACTGATTTGTTACCCGTACCTTTGTGCAACAGACTTAACAATTGATATCATTTTTAACAACCAAAAGAGGGGTACTTAAAGTTTGAAACCCAAGTCTTCGTCTAAGACTGTCTTGATGCTCGTTCAAACATCCAAAGACATTTTGAAAGTACCATTTACTCTAGTTTTTTAGTCACACTCATTCGTTCAAATTACTCTTTCTATTTATGCATCCAGCAGCTGAATAGGATGCACAACTCTGCAGACAGTGTAGCAGGTCTCAAACCCATGTATCAAAGTAAATTGTCCTGATTTACGACCGGTTTTAGTGTTAAAACTTTGGGTTGCATTTTTGTGGTTACTTACTGGTGCAATAAAGTTTCATCTCAGATATCTTTTGAATATTGTAAATGATCAGTATTAAGAGCCAGTATCGTATTGAAAAACGAGCCGCTGTGGGCGATGTATCTAGCACGTTTGTCCCTTTGGCTCATTATTTCATAGATTCTTTGGCAGCTATGCTTGGGCTTTACTTAGGACTGTTTTGCGGCATAAGATTGGTGCTGCGATGTAGTTTTGCTTACCACCAACGGCTATTATTTGTCTCAGTTCTAAAAAAAAATTTTTCTTTCATTTGACCTCTAGGTTCTCGCGTAAAGTGTTAGCAATCCCTCTTAATGTATAAAAGTATGCATGCCTATCCGTTAACACATTACGGTTTGCTAGTTTATGAAGGGGTGCTATCTTCCTCAAGGGTTTCATTCGTGTCCAAGGTTTCCTGATTACATTCGGAATACAACCATTTCCCGAAAAAGAAACTTTCATTCCTGATACTAAATTCTATTCTCAGGGATAAAGTGAGACTACCACCTATCACTATCACTGCATGAAGATAGCAGTAATTCAAGAAAAATTGAATTTGTGCTTGTCTATACTACCTCAAACAGTCTAATACTGTTTTTCTGCCTGATAGGGTTTTGAAGAGGCGCGGAATCACTTTGGGTCTCCTTTGATCGTCAAAGGACTGCGTGACTGCATCGTGAAAACCTGGCGCAATGAGGGATTAGAGGGTCTTTTTAAAGGTCTTCAGCCTTCTATCCTTAAGGCATGTCTCTCTATGGGTTGTCGATTTGCCGTCTACGAGAAGGTCTGCAACTTCCTCTCGTACAAAAACACCTCCAGGGCTTCCACGCCTACAACTACTGGATAGTCTTTTACCTATCTATGTTCGCCCCTCACGGCACTTATGCTAGAGATGAGTTTGCATATCCCAGCCTCCGTTCCTCCTTCCTCTCGAAACTTCCTTTTTATTCCATCATGAGATGTTTGCTTTATTTTTTTCCTTTGTTGCGATCTGCGCCAAAACATCGGGATAGAACTGCCGATTGAGGTGTTTATGCTCTTACTATTTACTAATCAGTGCGATACCGGTCGTCACTCAAACATATTTTCAGAGAGATCGAAAATTTGTGTCCATATGTAACTGGCCTGACGGCGAAGGGTGATCTACAGTGTCAGCGCGTTATTTCCTTGCTGGAATTGTGGTTCTGGTTGCATGGATTTGGTTATGGATGCCTCGAGTTTCGCCGGGTGATCTAACCACTGGTTCAAGCCGTCACCTCAAAGTCTCTTCCGTCGTACAGTCATTGCTGCCTCAGGTTACAGCGTTCTGCGACTTGGCAATGGAAAAAAGTCTTGGGTGGGTGCATGTATTCGGTCCGAAAGGGTGGAAATGCGACATTGACATAGCTGGAATGTCGACTCGAGTGACTGAAGTAAGGTGACCTCAAGGTGGTCATCGTCCTTAACATTGGTCGATGCAGCAAAGTAACACAGGGTGGCGCCCCATTTTCCCACGATCAATGCCTCCCTCAAGCGTTGCTTATAATATATTGCAAGGTGGTTGTTATCACTAGTTGGGTACTTGTAATAGAAGGCGAAATCAACAATTTGAGGGCTAGTCTTATTGAACCCAGTTTATGAATTGTGCTATCATTTAGTTGCGTTCGTGGTAAACGTAACTTATGGTTGCGTTCCGAAAGCTTCCGAGAAACAGTGTAAAGAAAAGTCAAATTAGATGAATGATTCCATATATGCTTTGAAACATTGAGGGTTTTATGGTATGTCCTAATACTATGCAATGAACTTCATAAAGCATGCCTGCTTGTTTTATGCAACTGCCTTGGATGTGAGTTGGTTGAATAGCCGTGGCAGTCTGGTGAACGAGTGGATTGGGGAGTTATGAAGTGTTCTCAATGCGGTGGGTGCAAGTTTGAAGAAGATCCCGCGAGGGGCGACATGGTATGTGTCGAATGTGGTGCTGTGGAAAGTGAAAATGCTGTTACTTCATCCGTTGAATATGTTGAGAATCCCGGTGGGACGACTACAGCACTAGGAAATTTTGTTTCTTCTGAAAGTGAGTTCTTTATTGATTAATACCTCTGGCCAACGTGCAGTTGCGGTTAAAGTCTTAGTGCTTATTTGTTTCGGTTGGTTTTTCGCCTCGTAGCTGTTATCAGTTTTATGATTGTGTCTCTCAATTCGATTATGATTTGCTATTCTGACATAGACAGCTATCGCTTTGTGATTGGCAATCGTTACCGTAATCAGCGAATTACTGTGGTATAGTTGGTCATTCTGTGGAACCCCGGATCTCTAATCCTTAAGGTGTTCGTCGCATTAAAACTCGACATTCTTTTTATTCTAATTCCTTTTTAGGTCAGATGCTGGGTTTTCGAGAATCGCGGTATGTCACGGAACAAAAAGGTATTCGTTGATACTTTTGTTGAGTCTCCATGATGGGCAAAAGTCATTGTCATCGTAACTTTCAGCTCGGAAGCGCATAGAAACAATCTGCGGTCAACTCCGATTGGGTGCCGACGTCGCCATCTCTGCGTTCCGTTATTATCAGAGCGCTCTTTTTCGTGGATTTACACGTGGTCGGAGTTCGTTACAACTGGCAGCTGCATGCATTTACGTTGCAGCCAGGCAGCTTCGAGTCAACTTAATGCTTCTTGATCTTAGCGACGCCGTGGCAATCAATGTTTACCACGTAGGACGCACGTATATCGATTTGAAGCGTCGTCTTAATCTTTCTCTTCCTGAAGTGGGTGGGTATCTTTTTCGCTGCATTTATAGTGCAATGCGCTTTGGTGAATTGCATATCGTGTTACTGCTCTGCTCAGATCCGTGCTTATTTGTAGAGCGTTTTGCGAGTCAATTGGATTTTGAAGAGAAGACAGCTGTCGTAGCTACTACGGCAATGCGGTTGCTGCAACGTATGAAAAAGGACTGGATTAGCACTGGTAGACGACCAAGCGGACTAGCAGCTGCGTCACTGCTTGTTGCCGCCAGAATTCACGAGTTTAATAGAACGGAAGAAGATGTCGCTAAGGTTGGTGAGTATCGCATAACCGTCTCATATTGGGAGCTCAAGTCAAGGTTCAATTACTTTGAAAACTCCCTGTTGTAGCGCGCATAAGTCAAATGACTGCAAGGAAGCGATTAATTGAGTTCAGTAAAACTCCGAGCTCGGGGCTAAGCATTGATGCCTTCTTCACTGTTGATTATGATGAGGAACAAGATCCACCTTGCTTTGGACAGCAAACACAGAAGAGACGATTTGTAGGTTAAGTTATTTATGCCATGGTTACTCATCTACGCTCCCTTATATGATCCATTTTTTATTTACTAAGGATCTCAAAGACCTCGATATGGAACAAGTTTCAGCTGAGATCAAGGAACTCGGCCGTCGGATCGACCAAGAACTTGATGAACTCGCTAATAAACGGAGAATGAGCGTTGCTATTAATGATTCTGGTAAGTAATCGTCTGTTATTTCCTACCCTTTGGAACTTTCACTTGATTCCCTAGAAATAATCTAATGCATCCCTCCGAATGATGTTTTGACCAGCCCATATTGAATTCATATTTTGATGCGCAACTTTTTCTTACTTTGCTCCTCTAGGCTTAGGCAACTCGAAGGGTCTTCGGCACCTTGTGGAGACAGAGAGTTCACCAGCTAAAGATGTGGATTTTGAAGAGGAAAGGGAGAAGAATGGAGAGTCTGGTACGACAGTAGAGGCCGTGACTGAAGGAACATCATTTTTGCCACATTTTTCGGGATCTAAGCATTGTCGCTCGTCGCGTCAGGTGTTGCGTGAAGTCCTCGATGGGGTGGTTGATCCCGAGATCTTAGATTCTTGTGTGGAAGATCTTGAGCTTATCACCGCACACTCGGGCACCAAGTTGTGTGAATTAGTACGTGCTACTCACCAGTGGCGGAATGCTCGGGATGCCGCCGAGGCCGCGGCCGCAACTGCCGACATCGATCCAAACCGCTCTGATGCCTCTACCTCCCAGTCCTCACTACTAGTTCCCATTCCCACCGATGGTATGCTTAGTTGCAAGCTTCGCTGCTTTGTGCACTTTTCCTAGAGAAAAACCTACTGTATTTAAGTGATATGAAGGAAAAGCGAAAGCAGGTAGATTAAAGATATTAATTTCTGGTTTATTATGTTCCTTTTTGAAAGTAGAAGGTTGATATGCTTGTTAGTGTTTGATATCCCTATTTGAAGTGCATTGCTTCTGACTTTTCAAGTTTACCTAAACCTATCAAAAATTTCCTGGATAGCACCTTGCGGTTGAATGTTTCTGCTGTACCTCTAAAGTTACACTCGATGTCCACAAAAACTAAAAATACGATTCAAGCGCCGTTTAAATTTGAGGTTGTGAAGTTAAGTTTCTGTACATACCAGCTGGTAACCGTTGCGGGACCAAATCAGTACCGTTGACTGCACTTTAATTAGGAAAACTCGTCAGGAGGCTGTCGTTTGTCCCAATTACTTCTACGGAATCTTGTCACTTTAGGTAGTAAGAATTATGCACATAAACTACATGCATGCATTCAAAATGAATCTGAAGCAGTCTTATCGCCATAAAAGCTCACAATTTTGTGTATCTGGCGTCCTTTACGAAGCAGTTATTCGCTTTGGCCATGTGTAAGGCGGTGAGTTAGCACGGCTATTTTCTCGCTGATTTCAAACCGACGTAGTTCTGATTCGACCTTCATGTTTTTGGAATAAATCGCAGTCTAGTTGGATTAATTCAAGGCATTCAACTTTTGATGGAAGGTATTACTAGACCAATACTTTCTGGTATGCTTAGGAGGCGGCACAAATACTTGTCAAGCTCAGCTTTTTGTACGGTCCGTATCATGATCTGTATTAGGCAAATCTAACATAATAAAATTGTTAATTTTAACCTTTCTCGATTGTCTTTTACTATAACTCATTTTACCGGTAACTCAGTCCACTTTGTATGCTTTTTTTGTGGGAAAACTATTTAACTTGCCTTGATTTTTAGACTCCCTTAAACTTCCACACTTTCTTGCTCCCCTGGAATCTGCACAAGCCACCAATGAAGCAACTAGTAAGACTCCTCATATCCAACTGTTAATTCAATGCTCTGGTCTAATCTTTTGGTGTCTTTTATTGCTTTATTTGGTCCAATATTAACATTTTAAATACTTTCAGTACTTCTAGTGTTTGTTCGCCAAATCCTACAGTATGGAGTGTATTCATTTAGGTAGGGGTTGCCAATAAGATGGCAGTCGGAGAGCCTCAAATTGATATTGCATTTCTACTTATGATTTTGTAAGTATAAAATTTCTTGACGCTTTGTGAATCTACAGTTAACAGTACATTGAGCAATTTTTCGAACCGTCTAGTGATAAGAAACAAGCCTTAGGTTGCGTAAAAATTCATTGTCGTGATACTATGTTTGAGTCAGGTTATCATGCCAGCAGCATAAAGTCGAATCGAGAGTGAAGCTTGTATTTCAACTGAACATGGATACCATTTGCTTATGATGAAGCAAGTCTGTTATGAATTTTGGCTTAACTGACTTCCAATGATTCCTGCGTTTTAGATGACTCTACGGATAATGCCGAAAAAAGAGGTTAGTGACAAGTTGGTCTGCTGAATTTCGGGTCAGTCTGCTATTTTATACGCGTTTAATGTATTTTTTCCCTACAGTGGGCTATGGCATTGACCTTAGTGACATTGACGAGGAGGAGCTGAATCGAGTACGTTAACTTGCACGCCTTCTTGCTTTGAACTGGGCTGATTTTTATCGACAGTTCTGCAATTCTTTGTCGAATGTGATGATTGGATTTAGCTCTGGTGTGTTACTCTTTTGGCTTTCCAGGCATTGTCACGTGTATGATTGACATTGTCGTATTTATTTTTGATGTGTCCTGAAAACACCAGTTAGTGGTTCTTCGCCAGATTTCAAGCACTATTCTGCCAACTAACTTTTTACTGGCTGGATTAGATGGCGCTGCTTAGATGGACAGGAGACTTAAACAAGAATATGTAATTTTAGGGGGAATTAGGCCTAAAATCATAGAGGGAAACTTGCTTCAGATTGGCTTCAAAGCTATTTTTCTCAATTCAGACCTTAAAATAGGATTTACAAACTTGTTCCCACTAAGACTCTTAGTTACGTTAGCCTTTGTTGATGTGATACGCCGCTTTTCTAAGGTAAAAGTAATTACACAAATTAGTCAAAAATCATAGCATTCAAACGACTTTTGTACCAGACTTATTTTGCAATGACAGCATCACCTATACTTATCTTCCGGATCCCAACTATCATTCGCACACTTCTTAATAGACTTTTCCGTTTGTCAAGCCTTCTTTTATTAAACTTTTCAGGAGTATTTTCTGACTCCTCGGGAGGTTATGGTAAAGGCGACTTTTTGGTTCCGCGAAAACGCACCCTTTTTGGAGGAACAAAGGCGTATGTTTCCCCTTCTTTCTTCAGCTCATGCTTTCTTTCTTTTAAATAGGGCCCGAACAACCTAATTTAGTAATTTTGATTGCATCACAAGCATCTGCATTGTGTTCTGTCTCTATTCCAGGGAAGAAAGCCGAAAAAAGACGACTCAAGGAGGAAATGGCCAAGCGGCCCAAAAGAGTAAGGTCGCTTTTTACCATTCCACTTTACATAAAAGAAGAATTGCGATGGTGCGAAATGCCTTTGCCACATACATTTGGAAAGGCAAGAGTTCATAGTAGTTCAAAACGGCAGAACGTATCTTTACATTTATCTAACTTTCTCCAACTCTAATGGTTGTTATTCTTGGGATTCATCTAATCATTCATGCTGCTGCTGGGAAACTGCATCAACGACACCGTTAAGTGTATTGCCTGCGCATCTCTCATTTTCGTTTGCAGCCACGGCGTGGTCCACGGAAGATCTATCGGCGCCAGCGTCGAATGCCATGGCATACATCCAACAAGGAGGACGGCCCGGAAGGCGGCATGAACGAGAATGAAGATAGCCAATCTCGGGTCATCTCGAAGAAGATAAATTATGCTGCGCTAGAAGCTATCGTAGGTAAGAAATCGGAAGCGTCGTCTGCCGCTGGAGAGGGTGCTACTCCTACGACTGGCCCCCCTTCACCGTCTGCCTTAGTTCCTGGAGGCGGCATTCGTACTGACGACTCAGCAGTTGTATTACCCCAATCCCGCACCTCCAATCGACTACTCGAGGAGGCCGATTGTGTCTCCGCCGCACACTCCAAGCGCGTTTCGCTCTCCTCATCACTGCTGGAAAATCTTCCAGACCAACAAGAGGAAGACGAAATCCCATCGGATGCAGATACGGAGGACGAGTCGTATGGAGAGGAAGAAGAGGTAAATTGGGACGAAGGTAATGATTTATGGTGAAGCACTCTGTCCATGAGGCTGTGGCATCCCTTTGTACATAGTATTTTTAAGTGCGCATTTGTGACTAGTAACTGTTTAGTCACTGTGTGGGTGTTTGCTTTTGTGCTGCCAGGACAACGCACCATATGAGTTTCAATCACTGTAGTACTGTATAAATGTTCTGCTATTCTAGCCATGAAAATATATGCTAGTTGATTTGGTGAAAACAGTACCATGGGTTCGAACGCACCCAGATTCATACAGATTTATGCTCTTATCAAAGTTGGGTTTTTGGTGATGTTAAACGGAATGGGGAGGAGATTGAGGCAGCATAAACGTTGATTCTGGAGCGCGAATGGAACTCGAAATGAGAGTCCGTGGTGAGGGTATGTGTAAACTTATAAGGTATTTGTAACTTGTCTTTGGGTTGAATGAGTACACATTTGGTCCTCAATCATGTTGCCGCCTCGAAACAATGAAGATACGTCCGGAAGAGTGAAATTTTTTTAGAAATAAATAATTGGGATTGGTTTGTATCTTTGAGGCACGATGGTTTGAACCCAGTTAGATTTCATGCATTTCATGGAACTTGGGTAAAACTCGGGTCTCAGTGAATTGCACTTTGATTTACTGGGTTGTGCTCTTTAAATTTTACGTTTCATTAATTCGTGGGCAGGACCAAAGCATCTGATTGCCTTTTTCTCAACAAATACATGATTGACTCGTATCAGTACTATATACGTTCCTAAGTGGCATATTGACAACAAATAAGTCAACAGGACTACGTTGCCGAACTCGTAAACGGGTCGCTTGGCAGCCTCGCTCCGCGCTTATTCAAGCGAAAGGCATTGTCATTTTGTATATTTGTTCAAACCTACTGCTTTGGTGCTTTCTTGCAAACCGTGTTTTAACCTTATATTTTCGTGGAGGCATCAGCTGACTCTAACCTTTCTCATAGAGGTGACTTTCCGTGGCGTCTCTTTACACGCTTAGGGAAGCTAGTTTTTGCACATAAGAGCCCTGTCAACAGTAGTAAAACAACCATCTATAAAGTGAATGGAAGGTCGAAATAAATAGGCCAATATGCTTGAAAGTGGTGACTGGGGTCAAAATCTGCATCAAGAGTCGTTACTGTAGTGATTGTAGCAACCATTCTAAAACGTTAGCACAGTAGGAGTCACATGAGATGCACGGGAGCAAGCAGGTAAGGCAAAGCCAGATCTTAAAATCTGATTATTAACACGACTTGTTTGAATACTACCGCGACCCATTTCACATTTACATTGCCTTTAATGCAGTATTGAAAAAAAATACAAATGCGTTGAAAATGCAACAGGTTCAAATAACGGTAGTTATATTTGGAAAAAAGGTAATAAAGTGCAATGTCGGTGTGGCTGGTTGGATGCTTTTTGAATTAGTCGGAGTACAAGCAAGTACACAATTTTGTAAAAAAAGGAGTTGAGTTATCTACAAAAAGCGTGGAAGCCAGGTAAAGCAGAGGCAGGAGAGGAGTAGTGGGGTGATATGGTGATAAGAGTGCAGAAGGCATCGTTCAGACCTACATATGGCATCGACGGGGCAGAAGAGGATCTGGGAACCGGGTAGATGAGTTTAGTTGAAGCACAATCATTCGGTGCTAACCATAGCTGAACTGGGAGGGAACTGCAATAAGAGAAACAAAGCGGTGGAACACCGAACTGCGATATTCAGCTTAGGATTAAGGAGCTACGAAAAGGTAATACACGGTAGCGCAAAGCACCTGCATTATAAAGCAGAATCTGGCTAACGAGAATGTGAACACAATTTCAAGTTAGCGAGTGGATACATCCACCATCCCAGGGGACTAGTCAAAGTATGGTCGCAAGGTATGCAGAGAATGCCTTTAATCCAAGTTTGAATTGAATCATGGTAAATATCTGCTCCTCAAAAGAACAAGAGACCACAGACCAAAGTAACATTAATGCTATTTAATAATAAACATAACAAAACTCATCTGAATTAAATTCAAAAGTCTAGCCAGTTAAAATAATTAACGAAGCTTCGTCCCTGTTTCAAAAGTGATGCCATTAGTAAGTTTCTGAAGGTCAAATGCTTCCGAAATTTTGATAAAGCATAGGAACCTTCCAAGGGTTTCGAAGTATCTCGCAGAGGAATTGCAGTGATTGTATGAGTAAGGAAGGTACAAAGCGACGAAAAAAAACGTTTAGTCACACCCAACTAAGCCATGACGACAAACCGCAGTTCTGCCATAGCCCAAGTGGGTAACCAAATCATCACACAAATTGAAGGCTTAGAAACAAAGTGCTAAAACGTCCCAAGGGATGCCTGGCGTCTGGAAGTATTTTCTCAAAAGGCAAAAAGCAACCACATCGGTAATTCCAAAGTTCAGCATTTATGTGTTTGTCACAAACTGTATTTACAACAGTCCGGTCTTAAGGCACGGAGCACCCATACTTGAAGAACATTTAGCACCTTTTCAACATACAAAAGCAAATTTTATAGTGACAGTAGTTAGCCCAAAATGCTGAAATGGATCAAAACGCTGACGATCAGATTACAATGCGCCAAAGCCTAGGAAGGAAAAGGATGAATTATACACACGGACGCTCTCGTCAAGTGGGACGTGATAAATTGAAATGAAACTTATTAGAAACCAAATATACACGCCAAATTTCATCTTTCCAAAATATGTTCTGGCCTACTGGACAAGTTTCCAATAATTACAAAATAACGAATTTGTTTTTCATCCTTAGGTAGTTGGTGCTAGGATCTTTTCAACGGTACAATTTCAGAACTAGAAGTGAAACGGTGAGAGCAGTGGTACTGATAGTAAGCGGAAAACCACTGATAACATGTAAAATCAATAGCTTCTGGAACTCTTTACTCCAATCCACACAACAAAAGCCAAAGAAAACGAGACCTGACGCGCGTTAAGTTCATGTGGGTAGCTGTAAAGCAATAACATCGGAGGAGGGTCTTATGATAACATTACGGTTAGCATGATTGCCCCCATCACAGAGTAACGTTGAGGTAAGCTCAAACAAACTCCTGCTGCTAAAGTTCTGTTTACATTTCAGAAAACATCAATAATTTATGCAAAAATTATAGAAGTTAGGTGGAAAATACTGGAATCACTGCAACTCATAGGCAATATGACGGGGGTACGGACTAGCAATACAAGAGAATGCTTTAATGGGTTAGATAACAGCCCACTTTAAAACTACAGATTTAACCCGATATGTATTTAACCAGCATAAGTATACGCAAGCAGAGGAATGTATGAGAGTACATAGCAAGACCCAACGACTCAAAATAGGATTGTTTTATAATCGGTTATACTCACGTGCTGATAATAAACAACCAGAGGAGATTTCCCCATCCACAGCAATAACAGCACGAAGACAATTGTGAATGCAGCGAGAATAAGCGAATAAGCAGAGTAGGACATCATTTGTACATCACGACTAAATGCAGAATAAAGACGGTCGACCAATTTGCAGCCTACCAAACGATGTCACAGCGCATAGTGCCAATACGACACCATACAAAAGCAAAGAATAGGAATAATATACGCTAGACACATGACGAGGTAAACTGATGCTATAAGTCATAGCATTACCTAAGAAACTCTTATCACTTCAGATCGGACACTAATAGCCATATCTCGAAAGCTCAAGATGATCCCTGCAGATTTTTGAATGAAGCTCCGAGCCATCCTATGTTGTCAGTGCCTAACATTTTACAAACATGCTGATGCCGAAGCAGTAGATTTGGACAGACCATGGCATCAGGCCAAACAACTCTGCATGCAACATATACACCTGGTTACATTTATTGAAAATACTGAAGCGTTTGTGAACTTGGATGGAATATGCAGAGACTTGAACGTAAGCACAAAGTGTTACTGAACGTAAAAACCACCCAGACTTACTACCGAATCTACGAGTAAGCAATGCGAACCTGAGCAAATTGCACACACCCAAGTAAAGTCTCCAAGGTCATATCACTAACTAGCAATGTATAAAACAATAAATGTGTCGTAGAGATGTATTCTGCTACTTATTAATGTGCGACTCCTTTGAGTGAGTTTAGGCTGTGAATTTTGAAATAGCGACAACATTTACAAGGATGAAATCATTGCAGCGATTCCTTCCTGTGCACCAAAGTGAATTTTGGATATCACGTTTTCAATTTTAAAATACGTAGAATCACCCCGCATTTTATACCTATGTCTTGTGCTATTATCTCCACCTAAGGAAAAATAAAGTGCCGCATTTCTGCGTGCATCCTTATGGCAATAAATGGCAAAGGAACTTTTATCAAGCACGGTATAAACAACCAATACATCACCAGCTGTGCTCTAAACGGTGAATAGAGTTGACAGGTTACAGATAATTGTCGAAGTCCATGGTACAAAATAACATACATATGGAAGGGCAGTTTACCGAATGGCTAAACTAAATATCAGTGCACAATAAAACACACTACATCCAATAAATTATTTAGACATATATAGCACATTGACAACGTCCTTTATTTCTGACTTTGGTAAGGGACTGGTTTCCTGGCAAAATTAGTAGCGATAAGGCTAAGAACTACCGAGTATGTAGTGCATTACCTTTGAACTTTGTAATACCCTTGTGTGGCGTGCAACAAAACAAATTTTTTGCCCCAAACAATGTATCTAAGTTAAAATATCTGAGAACAGCAACGAAGTTATCCATTTTTATGTTTGAAATATGCCAGTGATCTCTTCCTACCAGTTCTCTGAAGCCCCTTTTTGTTCCACAGGGCGTGGAACAATAAACGAAGTCGTTGTTAGAAATCACCGCCTCTCACAGAGGATGTTTCGATCACTCAATGTGCATTACACTGTCCGTTTTGGACATGTACTGCAGTAGTAGGAATTAACAGAAGGCTGACAGAAATTTACCACAAATGTGCAGGAGCTCCAAAGACAAATGGAGGATGGAGATAGGCTCAGTACCAATCCAAGTTAAAGTGTGGTGGAACACGTTTAA